CCCCAAAACCCCAAAACCCCAAAACCCCAAAACCCCATAATAAAATTCAGACTAAGAAAGACGCTTGAAATAATTAAAATATAGTCTAGTAGTTAAATTCAAAATTTGAAATAAAATGTTGAAGAATAAACTCTATGATAGCGTGAAGACTTACTTGGACAAATATCTTTTCGGCTTCGATAAGTCTCAGCTTGAAATGTCAGTTCTCAAAGGTAAGATATAGTGATATTAATCAAAATCTAATGTAATAATACTACAGGAAACATAAATCTAAATAACGTAAATGTAAAGCCAAACAAAGCAAATAAATTTCTTTAATCGATGATGGTGCCATTCGCTTTGAAAGCTGGAACAATAGGTAGACTTGAGTTAAAGGTATAATGAAACTAATATTAAACATTATTTCCTAGGTTAGCATACTGTAAATGTGGAATGGACCAGTAGAAATAATCATAGATGACTTATTTATTATACTGGGCCCAAATTATTCAATGGTCTCTCATGATGATAGCTATGTAGAAGAAGATGAATAGCACATCTAGGACCCATATGACAGCAGTAACATGTTTAACATATTTGAGCACTAACTTAAGCTTCGCAAAAAGGACAAGGGTAAGTAATAAAATATATGCAGCTATAGACTGGTTTCTTATTTTTATATAATTAGATGAATTACTTATAAAAAATCAGTAACTAAAACGTTAAAATACTCAGGAGTAGAATCAATCAGAGAAGTAGACATTCGATTTTGTGAAGAATATGAAGCTACTGATCAATAAAGTGCATATAAGATACGAGGATGATGTATTTAATGGAGAATTTCCATTTTCTTGTGGCATAGTTATGGATGTAAGTGCTACTTTAGCAATTGTTGCAATTATTGAATTATTATTGTTAGAAATTAGTTTGGGAATCTACTGACTAGAAATGGAGGTTTGAATCATTGGGGTAAAATAAACCAACTTAATCTAAATCAAATAATGATCCACTTAGCATGCTTAAAAACTGTATCATTGAAAATTTCAGAGTGTATTGGAATTGTATGAGTGAAATGTACATACCAACAAGTTTATGGGAATCTACAAGACACTTAAAATACCAAATATTTGAAGCTATGGAAGTTTCAGATCTAAGAGGATTTTTACTATAGTAATTTCTATTTAGAGTAAATTTTATAGACCCTTCAATCCAGGAAAGCAAAACTAGTTCCAATACTTGATAAGCCCAACAAATATCACCAATCAGATTAGCTATTATAAAAGTGAGGATAAGTAGAATGAAAATACGCAGATTTCTTTGATATTTACACCATTCGAGATAAATGTAACCCCAAGAATGGTAGAGGACATGAATAATTTAGTCGAGTTGTGCTAAAATTATTTCCTATCAAGAGATCTAAAGCAATATAGACCTCATAGGAAACCAATTACCAGTGTTCCTGAACATTTGAAAAATAATCCTGTCATTCAAAGAAAAAGAAAACTCTTTGTAAGGTAAGTTTGATTAATCCATAAGCAGCAAATTTTTATAGAGATTGGTTTTTCTATGTAGTCTGGTTCGTAAGATTAAAAAGGATTTTGAGAAATATGTATTCTACTGAACTTTTATAATAAGAGCTTGAGGGGAATTCAAAATACTCAGAAATCTTGAAAATTCTTGAAAATCCAAGTAATAATAATGATTTTTTATATTCATATAGATTCTCAAATATCAGACTTAAAACGTGATTTCACCAAGAAATCAGAGTAGTCTCTTCAAGATAAATCGAAATTTTAGCGTGTGATGAATCTGAGATGCTAAGCAATTAAGTTAAATCTCTATACAAAAAATATCTATGAGACCACTCACCCTAAATTTCAGATAGAGACTAGTTAATTTTCATTTGAAACTTACCAAAACAATGAACACTAGAATATTAAAAATTTTAGTGGATAGATGGGAGAGCTTTCTATATCTGTATTGACTTAGAAAAATAAGAGGGATTACAGGTAGACCAAATAGTCAATATTAGGTTCTAGCAATCATGATCAAGAAAATACTCAGGCAGTATCTTCATTTATCTCTGGAAATAATAAAACACCATATAAAAACTAGGAACAGATAGGCAGACAAAATAATTTTCCTCCAAATGTTATTTAATAGAATAAAAATTAGTTCAAGCCCAATAATTAACTCAATGCTCATTAAATGAGAACAAACTTACAATCCCCACCATCAAATCATTAGCCTCATCACATTCCCTAATCAAGCTCAAATCCAATGGTTTCGCCATAGCAAAAGTCAATATAAGAGGAAGGCAAATCTTTATTCGGGGCTGTACTTTCTAAAGTGTTTGGCTTTGGCAGTACTCCTGACACTGTCGAGAAAAAGCAGCCTGAACTTACATCAAGAAAAAGTGATAACATCTATGAACAGCAGACAAATAGATTTAATGATCAGTACTATCAGTAAAGTAACAGCAATAATAATTCATCGATTCTCAAATAAAAATCCTAGAGAGACTTCTAGTAGGCTTACAATCCTTTAGGATATGGCTAGATGCCAAATTAGTAGCCAAACTCGACAAATAATAAAAATATGCTCAATTCATCAAGACAAGGCTCAGGGATGATTCATGAAAACAAGGTGAATTCAGCTACAAAGCCTCCATAGATAGACTTGAATGAATTAAAGAACGATCCAATTCATCAATTCTTGATGAGTGATCTTAGCATCAAAGATCTTAAGTCAAACATGGACAATATGAATCAAGTTAAGGCTTAAAGAGTCTAATCTTCAGGTGGGATAAATCAAAATTCTTAAAGAGGCTATCTATAATAGCAAAGTACGCCTTAATAATTAACAAAGTTGCTTGGAAACAATGGAACTAATAATCAGTATTAGAACAATCAGATGTACAAGGGTCTAAGAGACTATGCTGGTAAAAGCTAGTCTTAGAACAATATTCCAATACCTTAAAACAAAAAGTAGCCTTCAAGTGATAAAAGAGAAATAGATCAAAGTGTAATGCTAGCTAACAGCGAGATCTACAAAGAACTCTCGACAACTGAAGTGATTGTAAAGCAAAAAGTGTTCACTCTACAAGCTATTCAAAATGAAAACAATGTATCTGTTTACTTTAGCAGAAGTAAGACTATCCCTGAATCCACCAAAGATAAAAGTGAATACAGACTTGAATGCTAGATTGGAGCAACAAATCTATGCTATTCAAATGAAACTCTAGGCCAATTCTTTGATTTCATCATTGAATATCAAAAGCTAAATGTTTTCAGAGACATTCAGATCATTCATTAATTCTTCGAGACTTCTTAGAGAAGGTAAACCTCAGCTTAAAGAAGACTAGAACTCATTATGCCTTTCTATATTATCAAGAAGTTGGTTTAAAACCACTAAACTGGCAAAATCAAAGATTTCTTAGCCTAGAATAATTAAGCTTAAAAGCAAAAAGCTCTAAGTCAATGGGAATAAAAGCTAAACACTATAGATGATCAATTCAGAAACTTTTTCTTTGACATATCCTTTCAAGTAGCTCAGTCCAGCATTCAGCTTTTTAATGATAATGATCAGCAGTTTTGCAAATTTAGTACTCCAAATGTTATCCAAGGTTAGGCTTACAAGTAAAATCATGAATGTGGTTTCGATATCTTGGGATTTAGCTTCTAGGGATGTAATAGCTTGAATATCCTCTCGAATTTCTTTCATAACTTATTCAATCACGTAAATATGATGAAGCAGCATCCTGCTATATCCAGGGGTGTAGATTTCTACGAGAATTTGCATAAAAATCTTAAGGAAAAGTAGTAGCGAAATAGAAAAGTCGAAACCGACCCTAACTAAAGAGAGAAAACTTTCAATCAGAGGAAAAGTAGCCAGATGAATAAGCAAGGCAGCTAGACTAAACTAATTAAGTATAAGCAGGGACCTAAAGCAGGGAACGATGAAAATAAGAATTTCATAAAGATTGAAAATGATCAAATGGATCCTACCACTAGTAAAGTCAGAGGAGGAAGCGAAGATAGCATTCTGCAAGATTTCAGTAATACTCCAGATCAACTGATATTCTTTAACAGAGGAGCATAAGGTGCATAGGCTAAAAATGGTGGACTAAAGTAAAATCTGCAACTAAATTAGAAGACCACATCTGTGATTCAAAATTACAATGGAAACAGTGCTGATACGATCAAGGTAGTGCCAAGAATTGACTAAGACCCAGTCTACTTGCAAACTGAGGAGTATGATGAAGATGAAGGGGATGAGGGAGAACCAGTAGTGATCAATGATTTAGATAACTTGGATGATGATTTAAATCATCCTCAAATGAGATATCCAAATGCTCTCAATCTATCTAGCAAAAATACTATACATATTGAGCAAAGTCATAAAGGTATTGGTCATAATTCACTTCAGCCAATGCAGAGTAACTATTCTACCACTAAGTCGAAAACTGATAATCATTAGTCTTACAATCAACCCTCAACAATATCAACCACAAAAGGTGCTATTCCAACAAACCAAATAAGAGAAATGAATAACGTATAGCCTGGACATTTCATCAACAATAATAATAACAACCACCATCACTCAATGAATCAGAAAGAATCACTAAAAACTCATCATCTAAACCAGCAGAGCCACTAACAGCAATAAAAAAAAGGTATGCCCGGTTAAATGTTCAGTGCAGGAATAATGAAGAATGATTCACACAATAACCCAACAACCAATTAGTTCTCATCAACTGGAAATTCAACAAAGAGCATGATGAACACCGGAGGAAGTACCGTAAATACAACAAGCACACCTGCCTTTATGGGTATGGTGGGAAGACCTATGAAGACTATGAATCAGATACCTAGTAAACAGACCATATCTCACGGATAATAAGTCCATGCTAATAAACCAGGTTTTGGCTAGGGCCAGGTGTCTATAAATAACCATATGTAGCTGAGATAAAGATGAGAGTTTTCTCTTAAATTATGATTGATTATATAATTATATTACGCTTATTTACACATAGTCACAATGCTTTAATTTGCTAATTCATGGGGTTTTGGGGTTTTGGGGTTTTGGGGTTTTGGGG